TAATGTTCGACTGTATTGGACCCTGGACGGCCCTCTCCTCTTCCAAGGTCGTTCTGGTCTTTTTCCTGGAACAAGTTTTATTTGACGCTGGAGTATGTCCAAAGAAGAGCCTGCAACCTTTATAATTACCGGATCAACTTTGGTCAGCGGCCGGATTTGCGTCTCACACAAATGCACTTTCGTACCTGTGCGCAGGCAGCATCGGCGGGCCTTCGACACTTGCGCTCACGCCTGCTCCGACGAGTGAGTCGTATTTCAAGTGGTCAGCTTTGCGGTCGATGCTCCGCCTCAATGATTCCCTTTTGTGCTGTTTAAGGCTGGAATTTGGGACGACGGCACGATTCGGTGCATGTAACGTAACCGCAAGCCGTTTTAGGATCCAGGACTCCCGCTCCTGCGGGCAACAAATTTTACAACTGCACCGCGTCGATTGCGGTCCAGACGCTTGTGAACCCTGTCAAGCGTGCTGAGGCCATCACCTTTTCAGAAAGCCCGCGCAGAAATGAAGATCTCTTCAACGAAACGCTCGCGGCTCTCCATATTTGCGGCTTTATTTAGGAACGATCCAAATGTTCCGATTTCGAAACTCGATAAGTATCGAAGCCTCGAGGGCTGATCAGCGCGAGGTGGGTGCACAAATTCCTTCACAGCCTTTCAGATCTGGACGCACTGAGCCATTGGGCGTCTAACTTTTAACGGCGATAAACGATTTTTGACCACGCAGTGATTTACAAATGGTGACCGGCCTTTCAGGACAATCATCCAAAATGTCTGGACTTAGCTTCCGGTGCATGGGCTTGATGCAGGTACGCTTGCGTCCATTTGGGCGGCCAAAGACGTCAGCATATTGGGCATGCCCTCGAACCCGTTGTTCCGCGTGTACTGCTCCTACACCGTGACGATCAGTGGGGCCCCCGCCACGTCACTGACGGTCTGCACGTACAACGCAACCGGTGCTCTCGTCACGTCTCCCACGGCCACTGTTCCTGGAGGGACACCACCGACACCCACCGTCTCCTGCCCAAGTAAGAAAAGGTGCCGTTCTAGTTTTTGCACGGGATCCGCACTCGCTGTGACCCGTGCACTGAACGCGGCCGGACCTAGATTTCCTTCTATGGGGGAAAAGCGTGGTCCTCGGCCCCCTTTTGTCGATGACTCCGGGCTTTTGTCCAGAGACTGACGGAACATCAGCCGAAAACTCAACTGCCTGAATCTAATATATCTCCAAGTCAACGCTGGCGCCTTTCCGTCTACATGTTTGTAAAAGGTACAGTGAAAGAGGAAACGAGATTCTCCTCGTGAAAACCCGATTATAGGAACTTCTGTCCAGTCTCTGCAGGCCTTTCTTCGGAACTTGGATATCCGAGAGTAGATTACAGGAACTCGCACACCCGTGGCTTCAGGATGCCAATCTGCCTGCTGTGGCATGTACTCCCAGATACTCAGCGATTTTCCGTTTCTTGTACGTCCGAGCTCCGGAAAACTATTGTTGTACTTGCGGAAAGTGACTTCTAATTTCTAATCAGCTCTCTGTTTTCAAAGAGCGAACAGGCAATCCGTAAAGCAACGAAATATCAGACAAAAGTCGAGATTCACTTGGAGAGAGATCAGTCACGCTGACTCAGAATCAGAGACTCTAGTGGTTTACGCAATCTCTCATAACTCTTCAGGGTCCCTACCGATCGTGCTTCGAGTACTGTGCAAGTTATATAAAGTTTGATGACGTGATTTGTCTTCACAGGAAGCACCGCCCCCAACTCCTGCCCAGCGTCGGTTCAGCTGAATTTTGCGCTCGCGAACGCGAGAGCTTTCTTCCAACAGACTCTCTGCAATTACGCCGTTGCTGTATTAAGCGGGGCTTCCGCACTTTGCGCTTACGACGCGACTTGCGCGTCAAAGGCAGGAAACGCCGCCAACTGCCCAAGTGAGTGCTTCTTCGCAGTTTTGTTCCATCTTATATTAGCTGAGAGAAAGAAAAAAATTACTTTTGTGGGACTTTCTTACGGATTCATAAAACACCATACGTATATCCCACGCGTAACAGCTCATTGAAGCTGGGTCATGTTACGCGTACAAGCGGCAAGGGAAACAGTTGAATGGCAGTCGAGGGGCTAATGGATACTGTACGCGTAAGCCCTCTCAAGTACTATGTGGGGAAGCCCTCTTCTCCTCTCAGTTCGGAGTGCATTAGATCCTGGACGTGTTGATCCCATCCTAGAAAAACGTCTTCTTGATGCTGATAGTATCCAACAAAGCGCCTAAACGCAGAAGTTTGGACTCGACGGGTCAACTTCTAATGATCAATAGCAAGATCCTCGTGCCTCACGGATGCAGTTCCGTACGTTTCTCTTCGTGTACAATCTGGCCATACGCAGTTCGTCAAATAGATCGAGACTGCGGTTTGGCATACAGCAGTATCGGAGCGGTGCACGAAGGGTGTTTTTAGGGAGCTAGGATTTTCTCTGTTGTCCGACGTGTAGGGGATCGATGAGGGGCTCGCCTTCGGATTCCAAATCATTAGTAGTTTCATTCAGATCACTTAGTGATTGACGCAATTTCGTACTTGTGCGCAGGAAACATTAGCGGGCCCCCGACGCCTGCTCCAACTCCTGCACTGACGCTTGCTCCGACGCAGCCACTGACGGGTGAGTCGCACTTAAATGTTCAGCTTTACGGTCGAAGTTCGATCCGCCGTCTTGTGTCCCCGCTGTTTTCCTGCTCGGAAGATTGGAAGGTCGGAAGATTGGACCACTGAGGGACGGTTTGGTGTTCGCAAGCGGCCTGTAATTAGCCTTTTCAGGAGTCCCGCTCCAACGCGCAAAACCGTCGCAGATGCACCAGCTGCGGTCCGGAGGCCGGTGAGTGATGACAAGCGTGCCTTTAATACTTCTTTTTAAAACCCGGGCCAAAACGGAGAATTCTTTGAGAGAGAAGGTCGAGGCCTTGCTAGATCATGCGGGTACATTCATCAAGGAACGACTTTGAAGTTCGGCGGACTCTGAATCAAAAAATTCTGATCAAAGATCCGAGACTTGATCGTCGCAATTTTCATTACTACTGCTCCATTCAGCGTCCGTACACCGCTCTTATCCGGGTATACAGGTGCCGTCGCGGCCATATGCCCAGCCACCAATATGGAGTCGGGGTCCTTGAACGAAGTGCAGTGCGGGTACGCTGTCAACAACGGCGCGAAGGTGAATCCGATTGGAGTGGTCGCGCTTTGTACCTACAATTCGACCGGTGTCCTCCAAATTTCTGCGCTTTTTTCTGTACCCCCACAACTAGCCGGGGCTCCACTATATTCTTGCCCAGGTAAGATAGAGGGTGGTTCTTTCACGTGGTGTTGACATACCCTGAAATCAGAATGCACTTGTAAATTAAACAAGTCCATGTAGTGCAATCTGACTCCTGTAGTAGCTAGATACTCGCGAATCCTCTGAATCATTCCAGTATGTTAGAGTTGAAGGTTGCGAATCGCGGATCTTGCTCTTTGCGCCCTTGATGCTTCTCAGACCAGAACAGACTTCCGCATTGCTAAGCATTCTCACACTATCAAAACCTGACTAGAGGACTGTTTCCGATTGTTGTTACAAAATCGCTCTGCTCCCTGCAAGAGATCTTCGCTCCTTGGAAGTCTTCTAACCTATTGCCATGTTGCCAAACGCAACACTTGTTCGGCAGCAGTCTGATCCGAATTCAATCTGAAACAGCCGTCCGAAGTCTCGCTTGATCAATTTAGTGATCAGCTAAGTAGCGGAAGATCCCGATCAAACCAATTTGAAATCAGATGCACCTGCATACAAACTGACAGCTGAGGAGAAGCTCACTCGGAAGAGCACGCGCATTCAACGCACTCGGCATGCCCGCCCTGCTGTCTCCGCGCCCACTCATGGGGGCTGCGTAGACAGTAAGCGGTCTGTACCGAAACCACAATAGTTTCACCGTGCCTCCTCCTTGCAGGAAGCACACCGATCCCCAACTCCTGCCCCGCCAATCCGCCGTTCGAAACACTAGTCGCTTTTGCTCGTCGCGTCAATGTATCATTGAACGCCGGAAGCCTCACCAGCTTCCAATGCATTTACTACACTGCGGCCGGAGAATTCCAGGGGACCTGTACCTACGGGCCAGATCGCGTTCTGCTGTATTCTAGTGGAACTGTCGGACAACCATCGCCCTTCTTTACCGGCTGTTTTCGTGAGCGAGCGTGGGAACCCACCTATGTGACAAGCTTTCTGGTATGCAAATGCATCGTCCGGCTGAAGACTAACATGTGTTGAATGATAAAGTCGACCGCTGATTGGCGCCAATCCCGCGATGCACGTTTGATATCAGGACGGATGTTAAAATTCTGGTTTTCTTAGTGGCGTTGAAACCGAGATCAGCGGCTTTGGAAATGGACCACAGAACCAGTTTGCCAGCCGTTTCTTTCTCCTTTGGCATACTTGTCAGAAAGCGTCTTGAAAGCCGACTTAAGCTCAACCAACGTTTGATTTGGAATGCCCAATTGCTGATGTGCTGAAGTCGAACCTTTCAGTGATTCTTGGGACGAAGATGCTTGTCAAAACACCGCAATTCCCTCCGATCCCCTCTGAGCCAGCCAGATGGAAAGGCTAGGTTCTGAACTTTCAAGACTAGTCAGCGGTGATTGCGAGTCAGCGGTTTGTCTTTGTGGGCAATGAATGACTAGTCATACTGTTTGAGTCAGCGGTTTGTCTTTGTGGGCAATGAATGACTAGTAGTCATACTGTTTGAGTCAGCGGTTTGTCTTTGTGGGCAATGAATGACTAGTCATACTGTTTGAGTCTGCCAGCCAGCGTTTATTTGGGTTACTTGCCTGGGTCGCAGCACTGAAGCTGTAAAACCACTTGACTTCTGAGGATCATGAAACCGCTTCGAGCAGTCGGGGCCGAGGTGCTGCAATGGAAGATGTAGTAAAAGGCTTTTAATCTGTCAATTAGTCACGGGTCTCGTGCTTTGCAATCCACGCTTTCCGCTTGTGCTTACTGTCAGCTCACTTCCGGACTTCGATGCAGCAAGCAGCGAACCCGTGCCCTAGACAAATCCGAGCCCGAGTCCAACAGGTAAGCCACACGTGAACCTCGCTTTTTGGTCGACCGTCGAACCATCTCATTTCTCTCAAAATTGGCGAAGACCTCTACATTGAAAATACAAAAGAGTGCTCGTCAAGCTTGCTGAGCCTAGAAATTAAATTGCACAAATTGCACGAAGCTGATCCCAGAGCGGTGCACAAAACCTTTGCAGCTACGAATCCATCCGGTGTGTTCGTCTTGACTCCCATGCATGTAACTATTCGCTTGCCACCCTGTACTACTCTCAGAGCATCGATTTTCTTTCGCGCAGTTGGTCCGCTGATTGATATTAGACTAGCTAGCTAGCTCACTTCAGAGAGGCAAAGTAGAGTCTGCCAATCTGCCAACACCATGTGAAGTACAGAGATTTAAGACGTGGCAGCCTAGACTTAGAGCCACGCACTTCGTTCAAACGATTGAAAGAGTAAATCCATAGTGGACCCAGAAGAGGACGCTTTTCCGTCCGTTCAAGCTTTTAGGCCATTCAAGCTTTTAGGCCATGTAACAATCCTGTAAATAGTCTTCGTCGCCTGTAATGTGAGACGTAAATACGGTCGCAAACAGTACTTACGGGTTCCTCAAAGTAGTCATTGAACGGAACTTCAAGTCCAACATATAGCTCTTCCGGTCCAGAGACTATCAAGCATGCCTAGCGCTTTGTGTGCGATCTCTCTATGTGGGTTTGAACGCATTTGTAAAACAGTTGGTCATGTGTTGACTGTGCTTCTACGATATAGTGGCTACCATTGGTTCCGAAGCGACTTGCATTGGCGCCCGACGAGATCCGTATGTTTGCACCCATCTAGGCTAGCTGCGCCCGGCTGAAAAGGGCGGTAAAGCAACTGGAAGGCACTATTTTGACGACGTAAATTTAAGTTCTCTCTGCAAAGTGGAACTAAGAGGTCCATCGGGATATCGAGGAACAGCCATCGATCCTTACGAGGCGCCGGTTGGAACAGCTCCGAATCGTTTCCGCTACAATTGTACTGCGTATGTGGCAGGCCAGCTAGCGACTCCGTTAAGTAGAAGTAAAAGACCAGGCCGTCAGCACGGCGTCACAGTGCTGAGCGCGCGCGAGCACGCCCACGAGGTGGTCACCGGCCTACCGCGCTTCGGCGCGAGGTCGCGCGCGCGCTGAAAAAGCAGTCCTGCGACCGACTTCATCTCCTCTTCACGTTCTTGCAACCGTGGTGCGAGAGATAGCACCGATGAGAAGGAGCTCGCGCAGCTACTTGCAGTTCTGCCACCTTCCGTTGGTCGAGAAGAGAGCCAGCTCTAAGTAGCTGGACGTTCGGACGTTCATCCGCTCCTGCGCACGTGCGTAATGGACAGCGTATACCTGGGCGGATTATGTCGATTGCCACGACACGTGTCAAGCTCGGAGGACCCGGACAGGTAGTAGAGCCTCGATCTGGAGACCGAGGCTCGGTTCCGACGGCGGGCGTTCGACTGCCCAACGTCGAAAAGCAGATGTAAGAGAAATACGCCACTAGCTTTCAGGGCGAGAATCTAATCGCGCCTAGACGTTCAAACTGGCCGTCAGGGCGATCGCCTACGTAATGACAATAAGCTCCACGGAACAGGCTTCTTTTTATTGGCAGCGCATACCGGACGCGGCGAAGGGTGTTACGTACATATCTTCAGATTCCGGATCCGACGGTCTTTCATTCGAAGTCTCAGCAAATGAAGCCTCGGATTAAGCTGTAGGTACGACGTACCGCCAATGATGACGTCACCTCAAGTAAAAACAAACCGAAAGCGACTCTAATGGAAAGAACGGCAAGGCCTCCAAGTTCTGTTGGGGGTTGCATCAATCCCCTTTGAGAACTGACGATCCTCGAGGCCAAAATTCGACGGAGCTCGAGATTGTAAAACGAAGTAACAATCCTTGCAGCCGGGCAAGGAGAATGGACTGCATAAGGCAATGTTGTAAGCCGCAACGAAAGCTTAATGCCGCCCAGATCAGATGTCAATGGATATATCGCCGGGTGCTGTTTCTTCGTAGCTGTAACACGTCTGCGTCTCTCTTGAGGAGAAGCACAGCACCCATGATTTGAATGCCTCGGGGTCGAGCGCACGTTAAAGTTTCGCGACAAACTTTCTTGGATCGATCCGAGGACGCAAACGCCGCAAACGTCTCGTAGACTGAGTACGAGAGGTTGGGCTTTCAAACGGCTTGAAAAGCGTCATGCACAGAAGTTCTTCCGTCGAGTCATGATGATTGCAGCCCTCATTATGAAGACTTGAGAAAGTTATGTACAGTCTGGCATAAGCTCAAATTGAAAGACTACCTTCTCTACGTTTCACTTCCTAATTCTATCACATTCTTTCTGAGCCTTTTAAGCTTGCGAGGTGCCACCGACGTCCTATCCGGTCTGCACTTGCGCAACCTTCTCGCAGAAATGGCGGTCAATTCGTCCCTTCTTGGCTTCCTTGGTCTACTCTGCATCGTTCTACAGATTGCTGAGGTAAGGAAGCGCGTACGTTGGTGGCAATGACAAGCAGTTCTGTGTTTTGGAAGGAAAGAGGACGTACTTCTGACGCTTGTAACTTGTGCCTAACTTTGGCTTCTTTTAAGCTTATGTGCTTGCTCTCATTATTCGCTTTTCTGTACAGCCGGAATCGTAAATCTCCGTTCCAAGTGACTCACGCATGCAAGCTGACAGACTGATCTTGATTCTGTCTCAGCAAAGGGGTTGGACACTTCAAAGTTCAATTGTGAATGCTTTGGTAGAATATTGTTATACCTATATGGGCCACCGGCCCCAGACATCTATTTCTTGCAGCTCATTTATGAGCTTCTTCCGAAACCCCCGTGTTACCCGAGTAGGAGTTATTTGAGACCCCAGAAGCTACTCCGAAAAGGGGCTACCACGGCTGACACTCGTAAGAAGGGATGAAACTCGTGAACTCTGCCATGATATGCAACCGGTTCGACTTCGACGTCATAGTTGATTGCTTATGGTTTTCCCCGGTCCTTACAGAAGACACAATCAGGAAGCACAGACACGTTTGCGCTTACACGCATTCAGGTTCTTGCAACCCCTTTGGGGAAGGACTCCGGTTCCGTCGTCCCGGTCACGGAACTCCAATTCCGTGGAGAGACTACCGCAGTCGCCCACCGGAAGCTGATGCAGACTTTGTCACCAACGCAGACGCTAGGTGGGTGCACACCGAGCTTTACAACCTTCAAATCTGGATCCAGCTAAGCGACCCACTGCCTTTGAGAATGATCAAAAAAGATCTGCTGCTTTCAAGAGTGAATTTTAATTGTCAAATCTGGTGAATATAAATCTCGTTAGGCGTGTGCAGGTACGTCGTTTGCGTCTCTCTGCGCGCCTATTGACCAGTTCAAGAACCCGCTGACCCGCGTGTACTGCTCCTACAACGTGTCGATCGGCGGTGCCCCCTTCATGTCACTGACGGTCTGCACGTACAACGCAACCGGTGCTCTACTAGTTGCTGGGCTAGTCACGGTTCCCCCGGCCACTAGTATCCGAGGCTTCACAGAGATTCTACCAACAGAACCCGTCTCCTGCCCGGGTGAGGAAACGCGCCGTTCCAGTTTTGCAAAAAATCTGGCTGAACTCCGTTTTGACCCATGTTGCGAAGGCGGCCGGACCGGCCCTATTCTCCACTCTGGCAAGACGACCTAGATCGGGCGTCCATCAAAGAGGAGAAAGCCGAGGCCCGCCCTTGAACCCCAGATAAACAAGAAGTCCGGAAGGTTGGATGACAGGGCATCAAGCATGGAACATAATTTGGAAACTAAATCGTGAAACTTTGAAGTCCACGTTGGATCTTTTCAGTCCACCCAGAAATTGTGGAAGGTACACTGGGATTAGGGGAATCCAATCTTGCTCAAGTAAACTGGACGTTTGATTTTCTAAAGTAGCTGCAAGGCTGTCTCACGATTTTTTGAAGTCGCCAGGCGGTTGACCAGGATCCCGCAAAGCCGTAGCTCTTTCAATCACTTCTAGAGCGGTCTGTAAAAGAAGCTTCTGTATATTTGAGCTTTGTTCACTCCTTTATGGTTTTTTCTCCGGCTACTAACACCCTCTCAAGTTGAAAACTATCAATGGATTTCAATGTTGGAGAGCGGACACGATATGGTTTGGATCTCTCAGATATCTTGGTGATCAACCCTGACTATCTAGATATCTCCTATTCTGCTCAGAATACCGATGCATAATTCTGCGAATAATGCGCTCATTTGAACGAAGTAAAGTGGCATCCGATAATTGCAGGGAGCACCTTCCCCAACTCTTGCCCCGCGTCGCTTCAGCCTAACTTTGCGGACGCGAGCGCTTTCTACCAGCAGAATATCTGCGTGTACGCCGTAGCCGCATCAAACACGACTACTCCCCTTTGTGCTTACGATGCGACTGGCGCGTCAACCGGGATAAACGGCCGCAATTGCCCAAGTGAGCGCTGCTCCTTAATGCAAAGGGCCTTGATGTCAGCTCCATTGAATCGTTTTTCTTTTCTAAGGAGAAAGAGATTATGTGACTCTCTTACAGATTCATAAAACCTCCAGAAATGACATCCCAGATTATCAAGTCGCTAGTATGTCAAATCTATGTCCAATCGAGCGCGAATGGAAACGATTGAAGGCCAGCACAAATGGCTGACTGAATACCATACGGGGGAAGCCGTCGGACTGCATTGGACCCTGAAATTGATGGCATTCTTCTTATTCAAGGTCGTTCTGGTCTCGTTCTAGAAAACGTTCTCTTTGATGCTGGGGTATGTCCAACGAAGAGCCTGAAACCTTAAAAGGGATCAACGGCGTTCATCAACGGCCGGATTCTCGTGTCTCACAAAGGCACTTTCGTACCTATGTGCGCAGGCAGAATCGGCGGGCCCCCAACACCTGTTGCGTCCATTTGCGCGGCTAATGATAACAGTACGCCCTCGAAGCCGCTGACCCGCGTGTACTGTTTATTCAACGTTAACACAAACGTGACGATCAGCGGTGTCCCTGCCACGCCACTAACGGTCTGCACGTATTACGCAACCGGTGCTCTCCTCCCGTTTCCTCCGGCCACCGTTCTTGGAGTTAGCACCTGCCCAGGTGAGAAAAGGCGCCATTCTAGTTTTGTACGGGGTCAGCACTCGGTTTGACTCATGCAGTGAATGCGGCCGGACCTAGACTTCCTTCAAGAGGATAATCAGCGGGGTCCTCGGCCCCTAATAAACGATGAGTCCGGAGATTGACGCGGAATCAGCAAAGATATGACTGACTGAAACTAAAAAATCTAGAAGTCAACGCTCGGCGCCTTTCCGTCTACCTGAATTGTAAAAGGTCCAGTAGACGAGGAATCAAAAGAAGTTTTCTCAGAAGGAACAGTTTGTGGTCAAGTTGCAGTTCAACCTGTGGCAGAATCACAAAGACTCAACGCTTTCAAGTTTCCGCTTCTTTTAGGTATGAGATCCAGGAAAGCTACTGTTGTGATTACAAACTTTAAACCAGCTCTCACGTTTCGACTAGCGGACACGCAATCGGTAAAGCGACGAAACCCGACAAACGTTGGAGATTCAGTCCAAGAGATTGAGTTAGACTGAGTCAGAGACTCTAATTTTACGAGATCCTCGTAAGCTTCCAGGGTCCCTACTAAGCGTGTTGCGAGAAGTGTGCTTAAAATGTAAAGTTCAATGATGTTATCTCTCTTCACAGGAAGCACCGCCCCCAACACTTGCCCCGCGTCGGTTCAGCAGACCGCCTCTGCGAACGCGAGAGCTTTCTTCCAGCAGACTATCTGCCTGTACGGAAACATTGCAAGCGGGACTTCCTCTTTTTGCTTTTACAACGCGACTAGCGCGCCAATCGCAGGAAACGCCGCCAACTGCCCAAGTGAGTGCTTCTTCTTAAATGAATAGGGCCTAAATTTGATTCCATCTTTAAATTATAGCCAGAAGCAAATGAGATTACTGGACATTCTTGCAGGTTCCTAAATACCATGATATATCCCATATGTAGCACGTCTCTATGTAAGCTGGTTCGAGTTACGCATACGGACGCAACGGGAAACACTTGAAGGCCAGTCTGAGGGGCTATTGAATCATATGTTGTGTATGCGAATCAGCCCTCTCAAGTACTATACATATGGGTAAGCCCTCTCAAGTTTATAATGCACTAGACCCTGGATGCCATCAGAAGAAGACAATCCTTTTCTTCCTGTCCTTCTTTCGTTCTGTCGTTCTGCACGTTTCGTCCTAGAAAAAGATCTTCTTCATGCTGAGGTATCCAACAAGAGCGCCTAACCCCAGAAACTTGGACGGGTCAACATCGATCAACAGCAGAACTACTGTGCCTCACGAATGCAATTGTGTATCTGTGCGCAGAAACAATCGGCGGGCCCTCGACGCCTGCTCCAACACCTGCGCTGACGCCTGCTCCGACGCCACTGACGAGTGAGTCGCACTTCAAGTGACCAGTCAGCTTTGCGGTCTACGCCCCGCTACTTTGGGCTCTCTTTCTAGCTATTTAAGGTCGGAAGATTGGACGACTGAGTCACGGTTTGGTGACGTTGGCAACCGTAAGCCTTGTCATGAGGAGTCCCGCTCCAACGCGCAAACTCGTCACAGATGCAATGCGCCAGCCTGCGGTCCGGAGGCCGGTGAGTCCCCAGTGTGCCTAGTTTCTTCGTAAACTCCGGGCGGAAATGAGATCTTTTCAAGGGACGGTTCAAGGCTCGCTAAATAGATTGCGGCAACATAAGGAACGATAGGAGGCCCCCTTCCTCCCCTCCCGTTGACGCGATTAGTGTTGATTCGTAGCCACAGAACTTCAAATATACATTGAGATTGGCCATCTAGATAAAAAAGTTGATAGATAAATAATCTTATGTATTGACGCTGTTGTTATTGCTAGGAATCGAACGCTTGATCGTTAGGTGAGGACCCGTAGTTAAATCCGTCCCAACACATGTACACTTATTCTTTGCCCTCTGGGCCATACCGAAAGAAACCATTCCGATTTCGACTCTGGACAGGTGATCGGGCGTAATACAGTAATTGCTGCTTCGATCAGCGTCCTTACGCCGTTATCACTCCGGTATGCAGGTGCCATCGCGGCCAAATGCCAAGCCACCGATATGTTGCAGTCGGGTTTTTTAGGGTATGTGGAGTGCGAGTACGGCGTGTTTACCGCCGTATACGTGAATCCAATTGGAGCGATCGTGACTTGTCCCTACGATTCAACCGGTGGCCTCTTGAGTCCTTCGCTTTCTCAAGTTTCCCCAGAACTGAAAGGGGCTACAGCGTCCGGCTGCCCAGGTAACAAAGAGGGTGATTCTTTGACTTGGCGATGACATACCGCTGAATTCTCAATGCAAAAAGGAGCCCATCTACTGCAATCTGACTCCTGTAGTAGCCCTGTAGTAGCTACCGTCGCAAACCCTATAAATCCGATTCCAGTATAGTGGAGTTGAAGGATGCAAATCTCGAATCTTCCTTTTGCGCCCTTGATGCCTCTCAATATGTCAATAGTGACGCATTTTCCCCTCGTTGATAAATAAAAACCAAGATTTAAATCATCACTAGAGGACTGTTTCCGATATTTGTTGAAGTGATCGTTTAACCAATTTTTATTTCGTAACTGCGACGTCCACTTGTATTGGCAGCAGTCTGATCCAAAGCCAATCTGAAACAGCCGTTCCGAGGTCTCGCTTGGCTACATTGGCCATCACTTAAGTAGCAGAATCCCGTTCACTCGAATTGAACTGAGCTGCATCTGCATACAAACCGGAGAGGCCACAGCTGATTTAAGAAGAAACTCGGAAAATTCAACCGAAAGAGCACGACGCATTCGCACCCCGCATGACCGCATGCCCGCCCTCCCTTTCCACCGGCCCCCTTATGGGGGCTAAGAAGGTGCCAAGCGGTGTGTCGCGAAACCAAAATAGTCTCGCCGTGCCTCCTTATTGCAGGAAGAGCACCTCCGTCCTCATGCCCCGCCAGTCCGCCGTTCGAAGCATTGGTTGGGTTTGCTCGTGTCAGGAACATTTCATTGATTGCCCGATCGGACAGCCTCAATACCTTTCGGTGCTCCTACTACAACCAGATCGGGGCGATGCTGGGAACCTGTAGCAACCGGCCAGACGGCGTTCTGTTTGGTTCTATCCGGCGTCCAACCGGACAGTTTTATCCCGGCTGTTATGGTGAGCGCCCGTGGGCACTTTCCTGGGTGAAAAGGTTTTGAAAGCGACCGTATCGTTCTTGAACGGGGGGCTAAAGACTAAAAGTTCCTTGAATGATGAAATTGACCGCTGATTGGTGTCAATCCATGATGCGCTTACTATCAGGTAGGACATCAGAAGTCTTGCTTTTGGAGTGGCGTCTAGTCCGGGATCAGCGGCTTTGGAATCAAAGGAGCACAGAATCACGTTGCAAGCCGTTTCGTGGCCGTTTCTTTCTTCTTTGGCATACTTGTCAGGGAGCATCTTAGAATCCGACTTTGGCTCAGCCAACACTTGAATCCAAACGTCTTGCTGAATGATGAATCTGCTGAAGTCGCAAAAAATAACGAAGCTTCAATTGACCCCTGAGACTAAGATGCATCGTCAAAACACCGCAAAACTCACCGATCCCCCCTATGCCAGCCCAGACGGAAAAGCTAGGTTCTCCTAGGTTCTGGACACTATTAAGCGGTGATTGACAATCAGCGGTTTGTCTCTGTGGCCAATGAATGGCTAGTCGTACTGTTTGAGTCTGCCAGCCAGAGGTTTATATGGAATATTTACCTGGTTCACAGCGGTAAAGCCGTAAAACCATTTACTTGAGGAGAAATTTGAAGGACCGCTTTGAGCAGTCGGGGCCGAGTGCCTGGCACTGGAAGATAAAGTAGAAGGCTTCCAATGTCCCAATCACCCACGGCTCTCGCTCTGCGATCCACGTCGTCCGATTCTTGTGCTTACGGTCACTTCACTTCCGGACTTCAATGCAGCAAAAAGCATTGCCGTGCGGCCCTAGACAAACTCAAGCCCTAGGAATAGGTGAGCCACACTGAAAACCTCGCTTTGTAGTCGACCGTCAAAGCATCTCAGTTCGCTCAGAATTGGCGTAGGCCTCTACAAACATACAAACGAGTGCTTTGTCAACCTTGCCCAGCCAAGAAATCAAATTGCACAAAACCAGCTCTCGGCTGCAAAGGTTCTTTGCAGCTACGATTCCGACCATTGGCAGTGGGTGTGTTCCTCTCGACTCCCATGCATACTTTTCGCTTGCCCTCAAGTGCCCTCAAAACATTGATTTTCTTCTCAGTGCGCAGGTGGTCCGCTGATTGGTATCTGACTCGCTAGCTCACGACACAGAGTCGAGGGAGAGTCGGTCATCATCATGTGACGTATAGAACGTTAAGCCGTGGCCGCAGAGACTTGACCCAAGGCTATGCACTCTCTAAGAATATCATTGCAATCCATCGTGGAAGGTTGTAGTGGATCCGACCAAAACAAAACACTTTTTCGCTCGATCGACCTGGCTTAAGTTAAGCTTAGGCCACGGTCGTGATCAGGCTTGTACAAAGAAGATTCCTTGCCTAGGTACGGTGCCTTGAGTACACATTAACTAGTAAAGTTTGCAAACGGTAGCAATATATGTTGGGCATATTGAAGAGATATAAATTGGCCCCACGAAAGGAACCGTCGCTTGGAACGATCGAAGAATAGTCGGACAAACTGGAGTGCCAGGCCATGCACTGCGTCATGTGCTTTAATTTAGAGTTCAATGCAAGGATGTCAATTCCGAAGTTCTATGAACAATTCCTGCATATGCCAGGCGACCGTCGGACTCAAGTCGGATCGACTCAATGACATGCTTGCATACTTGACTTGCGCGACCGCATATCAAGTGTTGCATACACAAAGGACTGATCGAGTCACTCAATTTCCGCGCGCAACGGTCTTGGTGCATATCATATCTAACCTAAGTTCCGAAGTTCAAGCACACGTCAGGCTCAGAAACTTGTATCATGTGTTCACTTGTAGGTATGCTAGAGGTCGAGTTCCGCTGCCATCTGCGGCTAATACGCTCCAGCTAATCTATCGCCATTCTAGAAGGCCGTGGCATCCGATCGACCCCAGGCCCGTCGAGCTAATTTACCGTACTTCGAAGCGACAGATTTTGTAGTATATACAAATATCTGCTTGATGGCAGATTGTAGTTGTTGCATGCCGCGCTGCTCACGAGAACCATTGACCGGTATGGCGGGGCACCGTTCAATTAGAACGTTACTTGAGTACACGCCAAGCACGGCGCCAATGAAGCAGAGAAAATATCGTAGAAACTATGCGGGCGAGCACACTTCGGATACATCCTGTCACGCATCCAAAGCAGATAGACAAAGCCAGCACTGATCCTTCTCCATAAGTCGATATGGGCCAGATAGAATCTATCGATGTTTTAGCCTGCTAGTTCCTTGCCCCCCTTTCCGCAGCACCCTCCGCTCCAGCATCCTTATGGGCACTCCCTCCATCCCAAACTCTTTCCTGCACATCCAGGAGATATTTGCACATCTAGGGAGATCCGAAAATGGCAAAAGAGTTTGTGAACTGTCGCGTTCACGGAAAATCACTCTCGTACAGAAAATCAAATACGCACTTCGTACCTCGTCTCAACCTCTATCACCATAAGCCCGTCTGCAGACTCCACTTCTAGGTTTGTGAGCATCAAGACCACGCGAGGTCGAGAGACTGTCATCGTAAAAGCCCAATCACATCGATCCCAAATCCAGAACTTCTGCAGTCCATTTTGTTGAAAAGTTGCTACCTCTTACCAGGCGTTAATTAGTCGGGCGTCTATGGAGAGACCTGCGTCCGACAGTCAGGAGTCCAAAACAAGATGTTCTGCGTCCCTTACTCTATCCATGTTTGACCTTGAAGATTCGAACCGATGACTGAGACGCACTCCATCCGATGGAGAGTCGGATCCTTGCAGGAGAGGGATGACTGAAGACAAAGAGATGCTCAGAATAAGAGGCCAGCAGAACGACGGAGAACCCTGCCTTCGGCGGAATAACGAGAGGCCACAAGCGTGACCGGCACAAGGAACCGGCCCACCGGAACCAGTTTCCGTAGCGGAAGGAAGGCGGTGCTCCTCACCGGATCCCCGATGCAAGAAACCGCAGTCTGGAGGCGGGAAAGTCGCCCGCGCCCGAGACGAAGACCACGAACGTGGGTGGCCGCGCTTTAATCTGCAACGGGATAGGTGAAAAGCGGACGCTTGATTGCCTGCCTTCGACGTATCCAACCTTTTCTCTTGCTCAACGTCGCGCTGTTCAATTGCTCTCGATATCTGAGGGCGTCGCAGGACCGGTTCTACTGACGTCACATGGCGACTGTAAACCTTGCCCCTGTGCGGCTTGTGTCGCCGACCGACCGAAGTGGCGGTGATACTCCTGTGCTCTTTTCTATGCTTTTGCATGACCGGTGCTGAAGTTTCGGGCCGCCCCGATCGTACGCCCTCGTTTGGAAAGAGTGCATTGGTCGTGTTCTTTGAGGCTTGGCTGCCCATTCCTCACCTGGTGTCTCCTGAGTTTCCCTCTTGTTTTGGCTAGGATGGCTAGATATACAGTACTCACAGTCCAAATGTTTGAACTCGGTCGACTCGTGCGTTGACACTTCGGGCCCACGAGTTCGGCTCCAATCCTTATAACAAAAGTACAACATGAACGAAGGAAAATAGGTGAGTCGCTACTTGCCTGAGTGATATAGCGGACCCGGACGCCGTACCCCGGCTTATTGGGCATCTGCATCTCGACCTGCGGACGAAAAGCGCATGCGTCTAGTCTCTGATCCAAGATGACGCACGTGGCGAAACCATGCTTGCCGGGACTCGGAAGGCCCCGCCGAACATCGCAGCCGTTGAATGGCTCATCCCAAGCAGGCCCAGAAAACACAGTATCTGGTTTGATGATACCCCGTGCAGCCAGTTGGATAAGACTTCGTGCCTGTGATCGCGACACTCAACAACCGGAGGTCACAGTTCCTTCCGACGAGACTTCGTGCCTGGAATCACCGTGTGAGGACGAAAGGACGGGACGACCCGACCTTACGTCAAAAGTGACCCAAGCACAAAGAATGTCTAAGGACTAACGGTTTGCGTTTCGCTCGTGCTCCGGAGGAGAAGGGTTTGCCGACTTGTGACAGGGACGACGTGCAGGAAGTTAATGACGTCACGATGACGTCATCCAGTGAGCGGTAAAGAGGACGTCACGCACCTGTTGAAGCCAGCGATTGATGCGGGACGTCGGCAGACGCGTTTTCCAACTGTCGTAGAGCGACACCACCTTGAAGGTACGGGAGAATGTTCTCAACAAAAAGCTGGTTAGCGGCGGGTTAAGTACTAACTGCCACTTCGTCTTAGGTAGAGTGTGTCCGAGATCCTGATTCCCGACCCCGCAATTGTTCAGCTAAGAACCAAAGCATTTCCAGGACCTTGTGAAATAGGCGCAGAATGAACATCTAGAACTGGCTTCTAAACCAGTCGTCGGTGACAACCGGTGCGATGGGCTGGCTCGCCGGTGGCTTAGACGCCATTTTCGACACCGAACTTTGAGCGGACGATACATACGCGCGTGTAAATATCACGGGGACCGGTTCTAATTCTGACATAACGTACGTATGGCTTCGTCACCCACTGTGCTGAACATTTGACTTTAAAGTCGACCAGGAGATTCTCGGGTAAAGTTTCGGTTCAAGGGGTCTGTTCAATCATGCTGGCTAACCCATAACAAGGAAAGGGTTAAGCAAGTAAATGGATTTGCACCTTGGGCATCAGCCTGGCGGCCCCCAGGCCCTTCAGAGCAGAAAGGGTGAGAATCGGCGCCCCCCGTGCCTGCACTCAAATGAGATGAGCAGTTTCAGCTGGTTTTCACACCAGCACACGCATAGGCATACGCATGGGGCAGCACACAAATTTTTGCCTTTCGGCACCCGTCTGGCGCAAAAAGCTGACGGGTTTATCTTCTGAGAAACCGCGACCGTCTGCAAGGAGGCGGAAACGCAAACAGCTTCAACTGAGGGAGTAGTAAGCATCCTAAAACCCTAAGATTGTAAGACCAGATAAAGCTTAAGGTGTGGTCTCATGTCCGGTCAGTTTCTGATGGAATCCCATTTTGAGACTTGGTCAAGCAGGCCATCCGCCCCACTCTGACGTCTCATAGACTGATACAATCACCAGATGAAACTGAAAGAAAAAGTTGGGAGGCTCCAGCGTGCGAGACACCTTCTAAATCCACAGAGTTGACGTCAACAGTGGCATGCAGAATGTTTGGGCATTAGTTGATGATCATGACCTACACCGGGATTGCCTCCAATATGATCGCCCTACTTACCGTGTGTCAACGAAGGCTCAGCATTCTGAAGCAGTTTATAAACATCCACTCAACCAGCGCGACAGTGTTCCCTCCAGTGTGAATCAACAACCAAGCAGTCTACAGCGCCAATCGGCGCGTATTTTTGGTCGTCGATCGACGAGTGAAGAGTAAAAGAACGCGGTGAAGATTGCTGAGACCTCAGAGGCCCATCCGAATGGTTCTGTACAGCCTACTATACGGACCAACGTTCTTGAGGTTACTCGAAACCGCTGCTTTTTGACGAAAAGGTCTTTCGTCAGACCTTGTCAATCACTGAAAGGCTGGATGGCGTTAAAACAGAGGTGCAGAACTTTGATCAAAATGCAAACGCGATGAGGGTTTGACCCCGGACCTGGGGCAGCAGCTCGTTGAGCTCCGCCTCTAGTTTCTTCGTCAGCTTCCGCTGTTCCGGCCCCGACAAGCAGTCAATCTTGTTCACCAGAACCTGCAAAAAACCATTCAGCCAGACTTTAACATCGCCAAACTTTCATTTTCTGGTGTAAAAAGACTGATTTGCGATGAGCCGACGGAGATAAGTAGGTCTCTGTCTTAACCCTGGGGATCTGTTTACCGTTTCAAAACAGAGTGAGAGAGCCAACCCGGTGGATGTAGACGTGCGGTTGATCGAAAGGATTCAAAGTGCATCCGAATGGCTTTGAAGTCTCGCTAGAGCAGTGACAGCAGTGAAGCGCAATCCAATGTTAAGATCGATACGAGACCGGCCTCAACCAAAGACATGGACTGAAGGTCGGAAAAACATTCTATGAAGCGTCCAAGCGGAATCAGGGAACTAAAACGCAAACCTCCTCTCCAGCTTCTCGTGAGAACGAGAAAATTTAGAAAGGCTCACGACGAGGGCCCGCACGGCAAGCAGTCAGATTGATTTGGGGATGCCATAAACCGCCTTCTAATCGTGGAAGCATACTTTGGTGAAACGACACCGACCCTTCCTGAATAGGTCCAGTTCAGAGCGGGGTAACTGGAGGAGGGAGAACATGCTCACGATGAGGGCGCGCCCTTCCTCCAGGACCCAGCTCGCGAGCGTGACCTCGTTGCCCTTCATCAGCACGCCGGACGCCGCGATCTGCGAATGCACGCCGGCAAAGCAGATTCGTCAACAACGGGTTTTGATAGGACGAGACGTCAATAACTTACAGCACGCTGTGAGCACCTTTTGCCTCCTTGGGACCTCAAGTCACTTGAATCAGTGGTCATTGAGTTACTGGTCTCTTAATGGTAGCTGTGCAACTCTGACCAGTTCTTATAGACGCGCACCACTGCTTGCATTCGTGATAGAGCGCAAGGTTGACGCCTGGATTGCCTCACCCTTTCCGAGCTGTCAGATGATCTTATTCAGGATCTTGAGAACACAAGCCCTGAGACGGGTGGTTAGGGTGGGGGTTCGTCGGACTGAGCTACGTGCGGGGCGGGTACATCCGAAAAAGAATTTCTGAGCTACTGACCGTCACCAGGTTTGCTACCCCTGACCTCGAGAGTCGTCCGGTTTGCTTCCCTTGTCGAACGAGTTTTGTCTTTGACCGCCGGAGGAGGGGTCCGACGCTTTGCTGATTTCGCGTCAGACCTCAGAGTTGCTCATTAGATCAGCATGATTTGGGTGACCAACAATGGCGGCAACCAAAACAATTTGAAGGAGCGTGTCACCTCTTGAGCATCCAGCATAAGTGCCACCACGTGCGCGCGCATGATCTTCTTCCGGGCGTCGGCTGCGCTCAGCTGCGGGGCGCCCTCCTCCAACCGAGACCGGTGCATCCAACCGGCCGTATCGACCTGAGGACACAAGCAACCATATTGATTATCACGAGCGCGTCGAACGACGTGAATCCACGGCGACCTGCTACGCATCATGACCTGCTCCCATGTCGCCGGAAAAAGGGAACATGTGACTGCCGTGTTTGGCAACTTGGGAACTTCCATACGGGCTTTGCTCGCCGAGGAGTTAAGGGTAACGCAATCATTCAATCGGACAAGGTCTCACTAGTGTGCTTATGAGTTCCGTCCATCTATGACTGCTGAGTTACAAGAAGAACTCAGAGCAGATCACAGGCCCACTGTGGAACGTCGCTACCAAAGCAAGAGGCACGGTCGAAAGTGGAAACAACAGTCAAGCTTCATTATTTTCCCATTTGGGCAGGGTAGTGAGCAGAGCCGTTTGGTTTCTGACACTCACGCCACCTACATTACTGGAAAATGGACGAGTAAAATCTTCGGAATTGTGTTTTATAAATCTGGCGGAGCCCAAAGAGATTTTTAGAGTAGCGAAACTACACTGTGTTCAGGGCGCAAGGCCTTACCAGCCAAATCGGTCGTCCGTTGTGCTCGAACGGAATCTGGACGGAATCACGCGTCAGCCCCGGCTCCGGACCGGTCAGCACGCGGTCCTGGCCCAACAGGAAGTTTACCTGGATACGTGGGAGCGTAACGTTTGCTGTCAGGCGCCTGGAAGCGTTACAGGAGGATGGAGTAAGCGTGCCCGGAGCGCACAAAGACGGGTCAGAAGCGACGGTCGGGCGCGTGCGACCGGGGTGGAGCATTTTGTGTTTGAGGACGGATACTACGGCCTTGAATTAACACCTTGGCAACCTTTTTCTTGCTTTTCAAAAGACACTTGCGCTGAGGAAAGCTAGCTGAGCAGGACTCCGGAGGCCAGCCTGGAGCTTAAGGTCGGACGGCGTGATGAGTGGATTGAGGCCTCCTTTGGAAGGCCAAACTCCAGTATCTTAATAACATTGAAAACTCGAGTTAGGGTTTAAGGTTGCTGGGCAAACCAAGTTCAAGGGAGGGATCTGATTGAAGCTTTTTCGTTCTGACCAGAACGCTGACAGCGTCATCCCGCCAGCCATGCTTTGCTGCGCGTGACATGGACATACTTAAAATAAAAGTGGACTTAAAAACCTTACCAAAGTGGACTTGCCCACGTTCGGCCGCCCCGCGATCGCGAACTGCAGCGGCACGGCTTCCGCCGCCTCTAGTTCCGCTTCCTTCCGCTGCCGTCCTTCCGCTTCTTCCATCGTAAAGGCACCGTAACCGCTTTCTACAACCTCCTCTAATGGAGAGCTTTTGGCCCCGTTTCGCGAGAGCGACGTTTCGTGTAAGCTCATCCCGTTCGAGAACCCATTTTCCCCATCGTTTGAACCATCAACAGCCGTGTCCGATGCTAACTCTACTATATTCTTTTTACTCGCGCTTGCTGTTACTGAAACACGCCCGGATGCAACCGAATCAGAACCATTTACAGCAAAAGGCCGATCCGCTTCAGCTTCCAATCCCTCCTCAGCTCCCATATTCACTCTCGTTCCCGCTTCTAGAGCACTTTCATTGGTCAGATCTTTGGACCCCATCCCTCCCTCCCCGTCTATACTTACTTGATCTGGGCCCAATACCGCCTCCCTTCCACTCCCCTCTGACTGAACCCATCGAACGTCCAGCCCCTGTTCTCGAAACACCTCGCCCGCACTTTCTCCTTCCGCTGCCGTTCCGTTCCCCTGAACCAAGGCAGGTTCCGCCCTCACATCTCCCTCTCTTATGTGGACTGCTGAAGCGCCTTCATCTAGTATTTCACTTTCAGTGGGCTCTCCGTGAGTACCCGTTGACTTGAGTGGAGGGGGGGGTCGCGAGGCGGCCGCGGCGCGTTCTCTCCGCGCCGTAACCTCAGCGGGGATGTTGGCAGTCGCGCGATCGATGTGCGGTTGCAGCTTTTCGTACAGGTCGGCCAAACCCTGCGAAAGGGTGTTGGGTTTTGAAACTGCAAATTCGGGTGAAATTGAAAGCAGCTGAATTCTGGTGCGCTCGCAAAGGTCAGACAGTGCTCAGATCATTTTGACACCATTTCATCAAGATGCAAACGCAGACTTCTCCGCTCTCCATGCTGATTGCCAATGCTTCCCCAAACTACCCCTTCCCTATCGCTGCCAGCACATATTTCGCCTGGAAAAAAGCGTCTTAAACCCTAAAGCTTCTCAAGTCATCGACCTCCACAAATTGCAAATGTCCAACTTCCCGCTTTCTGCACTGACGGCCACTCTACGGAGGCCCACACGGCCACAATAGCCTGCGCGTAGACCGCCAGACAACCAACTCCCCAGCCCCAAAAACCATGAGATCTCGTTAAGTTGCGATTGCCCAGCTCCCCACTCTCCGCACCGACGGCCACTGCCTCGCCAACCCCACTCGTTATGCTTCTCCCATGGCCGCCTGCAAGTACCTAGTCCGCCTGCCAGCAGACTTTCCGATATTTAAAAACTCCTTGAGACATTTGAATTTGCTTGTAAGTGTTCAACGAAAGTGCAGAATCCCACCTCGCCGCTCTCTGTGCTAGATGGCCATCGCCTCCCCAAACTCCACTTGGTACGCCTCCCCCACCGCCGTCAGCACATACTTCGCCTGGCAACAAAGCTCCTAAACCCCAAGAAAGACTTTGAATGATAGACATTATGGACGTGCGAAGGCCCACCTCGCCGCTCTCTGCGCTGATGGCCACTGCCTCCCCAAACCCCACTTGGTACGCCTCCCCCATCGCCGCCAGCACGTAGTCGGCTTGGCGGTTGCCCCCCTCGCACTTGTTGGCCGCAAGAATGACCGGCAGCCGGGTCTGGCAGCGGAGCCAGCGCGCGAGCTCGATGTCCATTGGCTGGACCTGGAAAAGTCAATTTTGGGTCAGCGTTTTGGTTAAGCGTTCCAAGTTACGTTCCTCAATCCTTCGAGATCGTGCGACTTTATTCTCTGTGAGCAAATTCAAGTCAAAGCACCGAGGTTATTGGCAGCTGGGTTTGAGGCCGCAGCCACCGCGCGAGCTCCATGTCCATTGGCTGGACCTGAGAGGGAAACTTTTGGGTCAGCGTTTGGTTGACCATTCTGAGAAAGGTCCTTGTTTTCCAATGGGAGATTCCTGTAAGCTGTTCCCAGTGGAGGCCCAATTAGATTTCTAAGTCGAGCGTAGCTCCGCAGCCACCGCCCGTGTTCGAAGTCCATTGGTTGGACCCAAGAAGGGTTAGCGCTTTGATTAGGCGTTCTGACCCTCAATAATATTGGATTGCATATCCCTGTGGGTTTCCAATCTACGCCCCAAAATATCGGCAGCCGAGTCTGGTGCTGCAGCAAGGGCGCGAGCTCGATGTCCACTGGCTGGACCTGAGAAAGTGAACCTGGGTTCAGCATCTTGGTTAAGCTTTCCTTAATTATGTCAGATTGTGTTGACTATTTTTTCTATAAGCGATCATGAACTACGGCCCCGAGGTGACTGGCAGCTGGGTCTGACACCACAGCCACCGTGTGAGCTCGATATCCATCGGCTGAACCTGATAAGGTAAACTTTGACGGTCAGCGTTCGCTTGACCATTCTGGGAGAGGCCCTTGTTTTTCTGGTGGAAGATTCGCGTCTGATAAGCTATTCCCAGTCTTGAAGGCCCGATGTCCTTTGGAAACGAGCCTGGCTCCGCAGCCACCTCGCAAGCTTGATGGCCATTGGCTGGACCTGAGAAGGCAGAATCCGAGGTCACCGTTTCGTTGAAGCCTTCGGGTTAACGTCCCTTCTTTTGATCGGTAATCTTGAGTCAAGGCCCCTAATTGAAAATCAACCGGGTCTGGCGCCGCAGCCAGCGCGCGAGCTCAATGTCCAATGGCTGAACCTGAAGAAGTGAACTTTGGGGTCAGCGTTGGGTTGACTATTCTGGGAAGGGTCCTTGTTTTCCAACAGGGGATGCCCGTCTGGTAAGCTGTTCCCAGTGGAGGCCCGCTCTCATTTGGAAACCAAGGCCAGCTTCGCAGCCACCGCGCAGATTTGATGTTCACTGGTTGGACCCGAGAAAATAGAACCAGGGTTAGCGCTTTGGTTAGGCGTTCTGACCCTCAGTTCCTTTTGGATCGAACACCCTTGTGGTTCCTATTAACGTCGGGGTCTGGCGCCGAAGCCAGCGCGCGAGCTCGATGTCCGACGACTGGACCTGAGAAGATGAATTTTGGCGTCAGTCGTTTTGGCTACGCCTTTGAGTGACTTTCGACAGGATCGATCTGTGTTGGATCCCCCTTCTAAAAAGTGCTACAAGGGCGATATTTACAGTGCGATTGGACCAGGGCTTGCGCCAGATCGTCACGCGGCTTGAAAGGACCCCTGGATGAGTTGTCTAAGATACCTCAGCGGATTTGTATCCCAAACCTTTTGGTTTTGGTTTTACTCGGGGCTGTTGCTTAGCATGTCGCCAGCACTCCCAAACGAAATGCAGATAAGTCCGATGCGGCAGCCACAGTACGAGGTCCACATCTGAGAAATCTTGTACTAAGTCAGCGCTTTGGGTTGGTTCTGGGTGGTCCATCTCAAAGTTATTTCGCTGCCTCTCTAGACCAATTGTTCCACTTGATCACATCACTTTGTTTGGGCTTAGGTTGTTTCATTGTCTCTGCTTTTATACGCAGGTGCTTCAAATTGGCCACCCTGATTACGGGACGCAATCTACATAAGTCGTTCAAAAACACAAGCCAGGTGGCAAGGCGTTTCAAAGGAACAGAAGCCTAGAAGGCACGGCAGCTATAGAGGACAAAGTCAGTTTTTGGTAGCACGACTGACAGTTCTGCAGAAGCTCTACTAAGAGCTCCGGCGCAGAGAGTTTTTGAACCCTCACCCCAGCCCGTGCGTCCAGCATGAACAACGCCAAGTGACTGCGCGTCAGCAGCTTTGCAGTCAGGGCCATCGCACGGCCCAGCAGGCTCCCCCCCTCAGAGTCGGCCTCCATCCCTGCTGTGTCAAACAGCTTAAAACGCAGGTCCGACAATTGCGCGACTCCTTCGCGATAGTCCCGAGTGACATGGCCGCCGGGGGTGTCGTAAACCTGAGAAGAGGAGAAGAAGAAAAGCACGAGATGGTCTATATCGACGCCAATGAGACTCCTTCTCATTGGCGTCGCATTGCTGACTTCTAACTCAAGCCTTATGCTTGAAACATAAGGCTTGAGTTAGAAGTCAGCAATGCTTTTTCTGTGATCTTAGCAGATGTGGCTCCCGAGGGTGGTCTAGGGCTGGGAACACGGCACCGAAGTGGAAGACTTGAGTTGGGTGGCAGGACGAGAAACTGTTTTCGCGAAGCTGCTGCGAGCTTGGGAAGCTTCAAGCTATTCCTATATACCAAGGATGCGAGCAGAATGTACAAGGAGCTATCAGCATCTTAAGCAACACGGAAAGCAGGTCATGCAGACTATATGGGTGCAATAAAGTGCGCCTTCTGAAAATATTCACAGAGAGACATAGTTCAAACTCTGCACAACTGCACAACCACAGTTTAGTGTCGCTTGTGCCCCCCGCTGAGAGGGCTTGAAAAGGTACTTGATTTCAAGTGTCAAAGCATAAATTCACAAAGACAGTGTTGAGACGTCATCAGAATTCTGTAAGAACCGATTCCCATGCCACGATTTCCATAGAGAAGTGACCCTCATAAGAATGTTTTTTTGATATCATCACTGGGTGCTTCACCCCCAACGCGCCTGTGCAACTTTCGTGAAAGCAACCATACACTAAGCGCACCACCAATAACCTCGGACTTAATGTGCACATTTTAGCACCACCAGTTTGCAGACGGTGTAAATGTCCATAGAGTTTAAGGAACCTTTGCGCAAGTTTACACGCACTTTTAAATGTTGTTCATCCTCAGTGAGGCCCACAAAAATGTCACCTTCATCACCACCACCACCACCATCATCCTCATTTGGCGCTTTGCCTTTGTCAAACGCCACCACAGCTGACAGCTACAAGATCTTCCTCAAATAGGGCCTCAGAGGGCGGGGACTTTCACAGCCATAAGCTTCTGACCAGATGCGCTTACACACGCAGCTGACAATCAATACCCTCTGCGTAGATATTACACAGAATACGTTGCCACAACTCAGGGAATAAAGTTCTCTCAGAATGAGCTCCCAGGTTTCATGATGCTTCTTCAGTCTCACCAGTGCTTCTTTCCGCCTCACAAGCCGGTTGTAAAGTGCTGACTTCCCTACATTGGGCCTTCCAACAAGAACCACGCTTGGCAGTAGGGCCTGATCCTCGTCTCGCACTGTCTTTGGCTGTTTCTTCTTCGTATCTTTCTGAACGGGCTTCTTCGAGGAGCTGTTGACCTCTTTAATGTGTGACGGTGGTCGCTTTGAGGACAGCAGACGGGTGGCGGAAATTAATTGCAAAGCCTGTGAGGGAACGTGGGGCCTAAACAGGAGTTTGCAAACCTTGTCAAGGGGTAAGCGGAGCATTGTCATAAGAAGTACGAGCCCCGTTCAAACACACCTCATCAAATAAATCCAACAAAGATTCCTTTAGCTTTCTGAGCAAGCACTTTTCGCTTGCTCCTCAGCGACGTAACTGCTCTTAAAGGACAAAGAATGAATGCTTCCATGAAGACGTCTTTGCAAGAAAGGCGTTTCTCCCTGACAAGATTTATTGATATAAAGCAAAGCACCGCATTGCATTTGAATTTAGGGTTTTCTTTTTGCAGAGTTTGGGTTCGTACACCCCTGCCACATGGACGAATAGGAGAACGCCAACTGGCATGGCCGTCGACAAGCTGCTCTGTTTCAGGCAAAGGGCTTTGTGCAGCCCTGAAATCCCATGCAGGGAGGCAAGCGCCTTGATTGAAGCCTAAGGTATACGCTCCCTGAACTTGAAGAAAAGCCTGCCAGGGAACGGTACTGCATCTTATGGCGCCGTCTCCGGTTGAAGGCTTTTGTAATTAGAGATCTACTCCAGCAAAGACCTGCTTCGGGAAAGATGGGGCCACCAATCATGGTGCTGAGCCCTCAAGCAAGCAGCGGGCTGGCTACCGGGCAAGTCTCCTCAAGGATTGGAGGAAGGGTTCAAAGCTGCATCCCTGCTTGTTCTGTTAAATGCAGCTCAAATTCTGATAGCTTGCATGCAAGAAGCGTCACAACTCGGCGCTCTGATGCAGAATTGAGTCAGGCTCGGGTTTCGAGATCGAGATTGCAGTGTTCCAATCCATGCTTACGTCTGACATACGAAGGCCCCCTGCCCCTTCCTTCTAGATATAGCAAAAGCCCATTGAATACGTGCACTGCAAGGAAGCTTGGAACCAGCTTTGGACTTGAAGGTCGAAGGGGAAAAAGGTTTCTGACCCGCTCTAGTTTGGAGGATCCTGCGGAGCTAGCGGAGGCCGCTCACCAAACGGGGGAGCAGTTTGCCAGTGTGGTGGAAGGGGGCGCCGAGGGTATCGCAAACTCAGGAAAGGCAATTGCAGGGGCAGCGGCTGCAGCGGGCGTTCTTGCGGGACAGATCGGCAAGGTGGTCGGAAAAACCACATCTCTAGTTAGAGACGCTTACGGACCCGACGTTGAGGATCAGATCAGTAATTACCAGCACGATGACCCCGTGAATGTCCTGGAACAGATCGAGGGTGCGGTTGGGCTTGCGAAAGGCGATGTGGATTTGGAAGGGTTTAGGGAGAAGCTCGCTGACGTCATTGATGAGGTCAGCGATGAGGTGAAGCTGGCGGCGAGCCAGGCGGGCTTGGCGGCGGTCGCTGCAGCTGGGGCGGCTCTCAACCGGGACGAAAAGGAAACTCCGAAAGCCTACGCTTGCGCCGTGGTTGAAGAACCAAAGAAATGGGCGGTGGGGAGTGCGACAGCAGGTTCATCTAAAGCCCCAACAAAGCAACAAGCAGAGCCGTCTGAGACTGGTCTGCCTGCGGGGGAGGACAAGAATGCGAGAAAGATTGAGGGCCTGGTGGCGTCGCAGTTGAAGCTGGAGGTTTCGGAAGCGGGACCGGTGTTAGATGCAGAACGAGGCGTGGACAAAGAAGGAGCTGCGGTGGTGGTTGTGGACGCACTGAAAGAGCGGCTGGCCGACTTCGCGGGTGGCGTCGAGGAGGAGATTAAGAGGAAGCAAGCGGAGCGAGATGCAGAAAAGCAGAGAGAAAGGGATTCGGAAGAGAAAAGCAGAGAGCATGAGGAGAGGCATCGCGACCAGAAACCCATCGTCCGGGGGGGTCATTCTGTGGGGGAAAACGGGGGAGGGAGACCGAACCGGGGCGGGTTGCAGAGACAGATAGGGGCGACTAAAGTGCGGGTTGGCCGGGAGCGGCACATCCCTGTGAACAAGGCGGATTTGATTCCAGCGATGCGGGACTTGTTTGAGGACGAAAGGGATGCGGCCGGGTTTGTGGCGGTGTGTACGTCAGTGGAGTCGATCTTGCATGCAGAGCACCAGGTGAGGTGATGGGGTGTTTGGAAGGAAGCGCGTTTGAGTAACTGCAAGCTCAAAAAAGGTCTGGGGATTGCTGTGCCTGTGATTCCCCATCGTTCGTTCCACACCTGGAAAGGAAGGCATGCGAGAGTCAAACTCTACAAGTTCTTGCTTTGAGGACAAATGATAGTATCCATTGTCCCAAGAAGTTGTACGATCTCACCTGTGTACCTGTGCATGAGTCCCGGAAAGAGGGCGTTGGGAGATCGGTCCCCCTGAAGTCGCATGGCAACTGTGATTGTGCCCCTCTGCACCTGTGTCGCCAAAGATTCAAGTGATGGTGACAATGGCCGAGCCTCTAATTTTCTTACAGCAGATTGGTTGTGACGTTCTGGGCTGCTCCGGTCAACACCCCCTTTGATCCCTTTTGCTTCTCCTATGTGGCTTCTCCTATGTGATATTGCAGGACCAGGGCACCACTCGTTCCCAAGAATTCGTCTTGCAAAGCGTAACAGATGCGAGGCTTACACCCTTTTTCACTGTACAGGTTATTATGGAAGAGCTGCGCGCCGACTACGCCCTCACCCACACAGAGGAGAGCGATGACGATGCTGACGTCAGCAACCAGGCGGGAACGCTCGCCGCGGGAAGCTCCGCCCGGAGAGGGTCTGAGTCAGACGACGACCGGAAGTCTCTGGCAGCCAAAAGCGGCACTCTTTCCGAGGACGAATCCACTGAGGCGGGGCTGGGAAAAGTCTCGTCCAAAATACTGCAAAAGCTGCTCGGGTCACGGGAGAAGAAACGGGCAGCCCGGAAAGCGATTGGCAAAGTCAAGAAGGCTGTGAGTGGGGACGAAGACGGTTCCAGCGACGAATCCGGAGGGAACGGGGCGGGCCGGGTCGGAAAGATTGTATTATCGGAGCCGGGAAGGGGATCCCTCGTTCAGTCGAAGTTTAGTGACGTGGCAGACGAGGGGAAAGCGCGCCGCAGCGTGAGGGACGACGCGAGCGAGCGGTTCGAGACGAACGTGCTGGAGATCCTCAGCCGCGGCCAGTTCGAGGCGCTGACGTCAGCGGACCTGGAGCTGACGGCGGCGCTGAACGAGGACTACCTGCTGACGCTGCCGATCAACGTGGACTGGAAGAGCTCGTCGAAGGAGGCCATCATTTTTCGGTGAGGTTCTTGTTGTGAACGGATGTTTTGGGAGCTTGTGTGCAATTCGTGAGCCCACCCTTGTTGCAAATGCAGGACCTCGAGACGAGATGATGCTTGGGGCAATTCAGGACTGGTTCATTGCGATCCCGTACTCTTTTATTTGACGGAGACGGGTTTCTGCAATTTTTTGTCTCGAGCCTGCATGCGATACAGGGTTTCTAGCATTGGTATCTCCTCTGTGTTTCCCTTCCTTTAAAAAAGAATGAAAGCCTTCTGACCGTACCTCAGTCAAGAGCCCACTCACGAGGGCTCCTTTCATCTCAGAAAGATCCGAGAACAACCCAATTCTAGGAATTAGAAAGCTTCCCTCACCCTTGGGCTTTCTTCAGTTGTTGTCGAGCCTCACTATTCTGCCGAAATACGATAGGCTTATTTCTTTTAGAATAAGGTTGGTTACACTTTGAACTTAATAGATTAATGCTATAGACAAGAGTTTGTTGCGCTGAGTCCACCCCCCAAGACCCCTTGCAGGCGCGAGAGAGGCCGCACGACTGACCTTGAAACAAAATAGCTCCGTTTGCTTACATCAAAGCTTCTGCTGTGTCCAGCCGCAGATAACAGCGCGACCAACGCTTAACGCCACGGTCCTCAAATTGCGAACTTGTGATACTTTGGACCAACATTTGTTTCCAATCAACAGGCGCGGCTATTCCGTGGAGCGCGAGAGCGGGCGCATGACTGGCCCCAAGACGGACTACCTCCAGTCGGTGTTCCTGCAGAGCCTCTTCCAGGGCGCGGTGCGCCCGCTGTACGAAGTCGGCACCAAGATCCGGAAGACGTACCAGGCGGTGTCGAACGATAAGAACATTCGGCCGGTGCTACGCAAGGTCGAGCGGTGGCTGGGAGAGCCGCTGCCGGTGGAAGGAGAGGGCGAAGGAGAGGGCGAGATTGCGGGGTGAGAAGTTCTGAAATTTATGTTCTTTTGAGCATTATGGGTTCTGGACTGAGAGCTAAACAAGTCTTTCGGGGGTTGATGACATCACATGGTCGAGCGGTGGCTGGGAGAGTCGTTGCCACTGGAGGGAGAGGACGAAGGAGAGGGCGAGGTTGCCGGGTTGGCAGTTTTGACGCTTTCTGGGGTTGAGCTTTTGGGGTTCCGAACGCTGCGGGGGCATAACTTTGAGTTTTGAGCTGTTTATGTTTTGAAATTACGAGATTCTTGTCCAATTGGGAGCTACTCCTGGTGTGAAGAGACTGGGACGCAAGGGGGTGGGATCGAGGCGAGACGGGAGTGGGGTTGGTTTGAGGTTTCTGAAGGCCGTCAGAGACATGTTTTGCGGTCTGGAAAAGGTTAGCTGCAATTTGCTAGCGCCCTCAATTTCGCGTTGGCTCGCAATTGCCGCATCGAGCCTTTCGAACGCCTGTTTCGAGGCTTGAGAGGCTTTTCTTTTCTTCCGCTCCCTGCTTGCCCAGTTCGTGTCTTGTTATTGATGGAATGAAACAGCGAGTGTGATTCTGGAATCACGATTGCAATTCCTTATCTTCCATTGGACCGGTCGCTGTCACCATTTCCCGGGACTCCAAGGTTGGCGCTCGAGCCAGCGATCCCTCACTCACAATGAACCCACGCGTGCCATTTCCAACCTGACATGGGGCACCCGTTTCCCCAGCGCCGCCGTCACCAAGGCTCGCAACGGCCAGGTCACCGTCCCCCGTTACGAGGCCTTCCTCTCGTCGGCTGGCTCCCAAATCTGCAAAGTCGGTACATTTGCCATGCTTTACTCACAACTCTACCAATCGTAAATTGACGCGTGGCTTCTGGTTGCGCAGCCCCGCCGTTACCGAGGCCCGGAACGGCCCTGTCACGGTCCCCCGTTACGAGGCCTTCCTTTCATCGGCTGGCTCCCGGGGTTTGCTCATCAAGAAGTTGCTCATCAGCCTGGGCCTTGTTCCGGAGGAGAGGGACAAGCTGGCGGACTTAGCGGAGGAGATTGCGAGGCGAGAAGCGGAGCTCAGGTACAGAATGTTATCAGCCTTTGCTTTTCCCTTTTCGGGAGCTCTCATTCAGTCTTGCGATGGAGCAGTCCCTTTCATCTTTTCTGAAAATGATGTCTCCTACTCGGAAACTGTACGTATCTCGACAGAAATCGTCGATTTGTTTGGAACAGAGGGGCTCCGCCGGGTCTCTCTTAGGAAAGAGATAGTGACGCCAAAGATTGGCACTCCATGACGCAAGTTAATATGTCCTCCGACTGCTTCACACGCTGGATCATAAATCTGAATTTTTAGGAACTCTTTGTCACGTTAACAGGCATCTCATTGCGAAGTGCATCAAGGCTTTACATCCCGTCGCTAACCTTCACCCCCTGCCAAGCTGACCTACTCTTCACTCCATTCTCCAGCCCCCGTTACGTCAGCCGCGTCTCGATGCAAGACGTCTTCCGCCCGTCCCTGGAGAATGTCTCTGGGGGCAGCCTCTGGGACCGGGTTAAGGCGTCCGCCGGGGTTATGTTCGCCCAAACCACCCTTCTCGAGCCCGCTTACCGGGAGATGGTTATCTTGTACACGCCAAAACCCTCGGACAGCAAACCCACTCTCTGGCAACGCTGGGTCCGGCGTCCGAAAAACGCGCTGCAGCGGCGGTTTAGGAGGGAGGTCGCCGAGGGGGGGTCGGATGACGGGCAGGATGAAGGGGGGGAAGTGGGGGACGAGGGGAAGTTGCAGCTGAACATGTATAAGGACATTCCGATCCCGGAGCTGAAGGTGGTGTTCCCGGACAAGAAGCTGTCGTACCGGCTGCTAGACACGGTGAGGATTAAGACTCTGGGTTACTGGGCTGTCGTGGTCTGACGTTACGAGGTTCACAGCGCGTTTTTAAGGCCGACGAGGAAGTGAGCAATGAAGGAAGCATCCCTTGAACCAAAGCGGGACGAATTTGAAGACAGGACTTGGAGTGTGACATTGTCGGACGAGAAGCCGTCTCGCCTCAACACGGGGAATGGCACTGTTCAGCAAAGCTTCACGATCGGGTTCGACAGTTGATCAGAGTATAAAAGACCAATTGAATTTTGAGGCTGATATTCTTCAGGTTGGAAAATATGAAGCATTGGCACCTCACGCTGGACAGAGGGAATAAGGGGATGGACGGCTCAAGGCAAACCCATTCTACGTCACTGTCTAACACCTCTTAGGGGCAATCTCCATACGCGGAGTTTTTAGCGCTAGCTAAGTACGGTAATTTCTCTGAGGATCGGTTATCCTGCCAAACGCAGTAACCAGCTCTGACCCTCGTTGATTTTGTCTTTAACCGCAGGTTCGGCTTGACTTAACCACCATCTTGGGTATACTCGCCTTCGGGCTGCAATACCGCTTCGACGACCTCAACTCCATGTAAGCAGTTTTGGCTTGCAGCGCCGCGTCTCCGCCTCTTTCTCTGGTGGCTACAATAGTAGTCAGCCGTTTGCCTCAAGCCTGCCAGTCTTCTCTTCTGTTCTCATTCCCCAGCAATTGATCATGGATCATTTCTACAGTGACCCTCCTTGAGCATGCAATCTTTTCGTTTGTCCTTCTCTTTTGGTCACGACTTCCTTGCCACGCTCTCTCGTGCAAATATTCCCGTCATTCTGTTTTTCTTGCAGCTCCAACTTCATCTTGGACGCGATTGCCTTCGCCTCCCTGTCCTACTTCCTGTTCCGGACGTCTCTCTCGTACGCTCGCACCTTTGACCGATACCGGGTATGCCGGAAGTTTTTATCGTTAAACTGAGGCTATCAAAATCTGCCGTCGTCAGTTGTTTAGAATCAGAGTAGCCCGTCCTTGAGTCACACATTCAAAGAAGCGCGCTCAACGTCCCGATGCCCGTGAGGACGCAAGTCAGCAAATTTGGTGTGATATCCACTTCAATGGCAACCGCGTAGCTGATTCTGACGGTTGTGCTCATTATCTAGTTGAGCTCATCGCTTGGGTTCAACGCACCCGCCATACTGAATATGCCGATTTTCTCCAGCTTTCGGTGGATAAGTCCCTGTAGGCATAGCGGCTGTTGGTGTGATCCACATGAGGTCCGTTTTCCACTTGCTTCGACGCTTGAAGTAGTGAATGCCTGACTGAAGTCGCACCGAACTTTCCCCCAGCTGCTCGTGAACAAGACCCTGTACGAGAAGACGCTGGCCAGCGGCTTCGGTGTGATCCACTTCATCGTGGACGCCAGCGAGGACCAGCAGTTCAAGGAGGCGGCGCTCGCATACGGCCTCCTATTGAAGGCCGACACGTGGCAGGTATGGATCTCTGGTCGTTTCGTCGTTCATGTTGGATTGATGTTGCTCATAGAATCTGCCAATGCTAATTGGGTTTTGCCGCTTGCTGATCTCAATCACAGTGTCTTTTGCCTGGAGCTCTGGATGTATTCCACAATGAGCACACCAGCTGTGTTTGATTGCGGCAAGCTTTACCAAGCGCTCAACCCTCCAGAAATCTAGCTAGCAGATCTCGGCCCGGTGTCAACGATTGGCCAATCGAAATTGGACCAACCTAGCGTTTCTAACGGCAATTCACAACGAGAGTCTCGGAAGTATGGCCTACCGGATTAGATTCTCACTTTCCCACTTACAAGGCTTGACATTTCACGCTTTTTTGTAACAGACGCAGCAGGGACTGGCGCGGGACTGCGTGGCATTTTTGGAGCAGAGATGCGGCGCGCAGGTGAGAGAGTCCCCACATACACACCGGCACTTTGCTTCACCCGTCAACGTTGGTGACTGAGGTTCTGCTACAGTCTGGGCAGATTGGGTAACGTAGTAGGCTGATTCGACGGCTACTTGGAAGCAAACATGCGCCAGACAAGTCGCACATCATGGCCGAGTGCTCAGCAGAGGGGTTATTATAACACTTGACTGCCAGAGTCCGCTTGGTCATTGCGGTGTCCACCATCCAAAGGCCCATCTGATTCTTTAGACCGATAAGTCGCGTTATTGATCAGAGTTCGGAGGATTTCGGCGCCGAAAATCTTTCAAAAGAAACTTTGCACGAGACAGCACTGGCTGTTACGGAATAGGGTGCTTTTTCACGTCATTCATTAGCTCATGGAGTACTTCGTAACGTCATCTGATTGTTTTTTCTGAGTAGCTTCCGCCTTCGATGCCGAGGTCAGGTCATTTGGCTCGTTCTCGCCTTTGGAAGAGTCAAGCTTTTTGGATGTCAGATCTGTGGAGTCTTCTACTTTGAAAAGCGGTAGTTTCTAATTTTTCAAACACGTGGTTGTAACTTGCACAGATTCTCATGCCCGTGGACCGGGCGCTCGAGACGTTAATCCGCTTGGGACTGGCGGAATCCACCACGAAAGGCGACCTGAAGCGGGCGGTCAGCAGCGGAAGGTCGCCGGAGACTGCGGACGACGGCCTGGGTGCAAGTCGACAGACGCCGAACGGTTCGTCAATCTCGGAAGAAGCGGAAAGAGAGGCTGGGCGGGACGCCGAAACTTTGCAATTCGACCAAGGGCTTTCGTTTGGGGAAGAGAGGGAAGGGGAGAAAAGAAAAGCGGAAGTGGAGACTGAGAACCTGCAAATGAACGGAACGGGGTCGGAGAAGAACGGGGTGTCGACAGTTGCGGAAGCGGAACGAGGCTCGAAGAGCAGAACGGAAGAGCGAACCAGGACTCCGGGACAGGCCGCATCAGCGGAATCCGTGCAGGTTGATCGGAACGCACGGGCGGAAAGCTCGGACGGTCTAGCAAATGCGCGATCGAGGGGTTTGGAGGCGCAGGCGGATTCGGACGGGCGGACGGAAAGGACGGAAAGCTTGGACGGGCGGGCGGAACGAACGGAAGAAGGGACGGCGGAACGGAGCGGAAAGGACGGGGAGCTTGTCTACCGGGCGATTCGGACAGGGGAAGCGATGCCCGGGTTAGAGCGGCGCTGGCTGGGGCTGCTGATGCGGCCGTCGGTGTGGGCACTCAATAAGGAGACGCACTGAGCGGAACGGTAGCGGAAGCGGAAGCGGAAGCGGATCTGGGCTGGGTTGAAACGGGAATGGAAGTTTGCGAAGTGACGAGCAAGGGGTAATGCAGGATGCGTGAGTCTGGGGATTTTTTGGCCCGAGACCATGGCTGATGGATCGGTTTCTTCAGACTCTCTCAATGTGGGGTATTGTGGGCCGACCGCCAAATCTCGTTGGTGAACGTTATTCTGGTGAGAGGAGTACTCGAGTACTTGGCAGCTCTTGGGGAAGAGATCCGCCGGAAGTGTCCGGTTGTGAAGTGACTTTCTGCGTCTGAGCCGGATTGCATCGAAGTCAGGAAACGCACGCTATTGGGTTCTTGAAAGTAATAAAAGTCAACAATTGCATCTTGATTCTAGATAGATTTAGCATCATACCGCCCTAGGCTGACGCGCATAGACTAGCGACCGTTATTGAGATAGGGATAAGGTTAAGGAACGGTGTTTCAACTTTTATAGCTCCCGGAATTTGTTTGGGCGCCCGTTAGTCAGCGCCAATTTGACACTGTTGTCTTAGCTTTTAGGTATAGATGCTTACTTTAAGAATCGGTTAGCAATTTATGACCGTTGGTTAGTTGTACCTCCAGACACTGGACATTTGTCCAACTAGGACAGCGGCACCAGGCATGAGCATATGTAGTTAGTAGAGAAGATTTAAACGTCTTCGCTGCTTCCCTTACGAGTTGCGGTCTTTCCATCCCGCAAGCCAGCCTGAGCCAGGCTGTTCAATCCCATTCAGTCCGATGATCGCTTTAATGCAGGTTGCATTAAACCTTTAGTAAGTTCACATATAGCTAGCTAGATCAGAGTGTTGTTTGATCAAGAAAACCAGTTGTATAATTGTATTCTGTCTCCAACGTGACCGTATCTCAGGGTGAGCACAATATTTTTCCACCGGCTTTCCGATCGGTCTTCTTGACTAGGGCATCAGGTTGACGGATCAGGTGCATGTGCCACGTACCGCGTACGCCGGCGCCAAACGTACGACGGCACCTTATCATATACGCATGCACCTAAAGAAATGACGCTGATTCCCAATTACATTTAAGCGGATTGCATGTGCAATGATGCCTCCCGAGGCAGGCCATGGCATCGCCACCCGCGGAGGTGACCGTACGTCGCCGTCGCCCAATGATGCATGCCGTAGCTGCTTATACGTCCGGGCATTCATATATGATGGCAAAATGTAAGTTCCACGTTACTCGTGAGTATCACTAAGTGGTGAGGAACTCTGTGTCATATCATGAATGGTGGTTTGGGCGCCGGCAATGATTTAGAAGGTAGCCTGCATGGGGGAAGAGACAGCGACTGACATCATTGGCTGCGGTTATGCCAGGCTCTTAGTAGGCCAATGCTGAGTCGGACCGGACGGTCCAGAACCAAGACGTCCGACATTACCGTGGGCCGCGAAAGCGTTTCAGGCTCATTTGAGCACGTACAACCTGTGTACCATGCATGATTGCGCGCCGCTTGAACTTTCATCATTCGATCTGTTGTGGGAACACATGGCGTACTCATCATGGCAAGTTGGACTAAGAGAGTCGAAAGCAAGTAACAGGCTCTGCCATATGTATGCAATTACCTATTGGTGTAAGAGGGTGCATGACCAAAGTTGCAGTCCAAGCTCCAGTCCAAAGTTTCTGATTAGAACTAGAAAGGCTGCCTGGATGGTCATTCTTCGTTCGAAGCTAGGAAAGTGCAAGCGTCAAACCAGAAGTTCCTCTTTACTAGCATTTCCAGCTTGCAGCCACTCTTTAGTGACCCAGACTGAATTGACGTGACCCCGTCCAATCTTTAGCTATAGTATCGTTCACAAGATTCGTTGAAAAACGAAGTACGAAACTTCTCTGCTCAACATTATCTTACAGGCCCTTTCTGCAAACCGACCATGTTGATGCAGGAGTCTGGCGGACCTTTGCCTGACGTACCTCCCAAACGGTCGCCCCTTTCGCACCTTCCGAACAGCCCAATCCGAATCAGTTACACAAGAAAGTTTCCCGACATGGTAATAACTGGCGGGCCGTTTATTTAGGAGGGCCTTACTGCCCACGTTTGCTGCGCCCCACTTGATTGAGAACTATGGTGGAGAGGGTGCCCAGGGCGAGGTAGAAGAGGGTGACGTCAGCCCCGGTACGTACCAGGAAACTCATCCGGGCGGCCTCGACGATGAGGTGGTCCAAACCGAACTCCGCAATGTGCTCCACGAAATCTGCGGTTTCAGTTGAAGGTAAAAGTCAGTAGAATTGTATCAATAACAGAAAGGTCAGATACGCGCAGATAGGATTATGAGACAGAGATGCTGACTCGATAGCTGACTCGAGGTGAGCAAAAGAGATGCTAAAGCCCATCAGATCAAGTAACCTGTCATTCAAACTTTACGACAAAGCTCAGAAATCTCGACGCGAAGGCAGGCGTACGGAGTTGAAACGGCGGATGAAAAGGGAAGCTCACTAGAAGGATCAGGCACATAGAAAATCACGAGTCACAGAACAACGCGCAACAGGAGAGACGGTAAACTACCCCAAGTAAGCACCTGCTGCGCGTTTCACGCCGCCGTACGACCGGAAGATCTTCCCGGCTCTCTGCGCCGCCTGCTGGAACGGATTCCGCTCTGTGGCGTTCCCCGGTCGAGTCAACCGGGCGACGGCGTCCGCCACGGCTTGTGGGTTAAGCGTAACCGGGTCGAGAACCAGCCCCGCGCCGCTGGCCGCGAGCCGCGCGCCCATGTCGAACTGATCGGCGAAGTACGGGAGGCAGAGAACCGGGGCGCCGTAGTAGAGAGCCTCCTGCGCGCACATTTTTGAAGGAATGTCAGTCTTTCAGTACTGGAAGTTGACCTGATTGTGATCCAGGGAACTGAAAGGACACACAGCGAAGTGGGCTGTACGCTGCTCTCCTGTAGAGGGGTTGAGATGAAGGAACGTGGTAGAGCGCGCCAGAAAACGCGCTGGTAGAAACGAACGAATGGCAAACACGGCCAATCGGACTGACCTGAAGAAGGACGTTCGGAATACGTGGAAAAATTTGAAAGGAATTGTTCTTAAGTTTCGCTTGCGTCCGCTACTGATAGGGGATACATTCTTGGCACCAATCGGCACAACAATTGAAACATCACGTCCAGTGATATGATTCATGCAACAGTTCGCTGAAATCCCAACCCAATGGAGAAAAATGAAAAGATCTTCGAATGATCGAACCCTTCCTAGCAAGTTTGTAAGAACCCGCCCTGGCGCACCTGAAAGCCATTCCCGCCGCAGTGCAGTACGGCGGCACCGATCGCCGCGTGCGCCAGCACCGCCTGCTGGGGGATCCACTTCTCCAGCCGGAACTTTCCGGGGGGCAGGTTCAGCCCCGCAAGCGCGTCTCGATTCGCCCCCCGGAGCGCCCACAAAACGTGCGACATGTTAGATTGTATCAATGCATCTGGTAGACAATCACATGTTGCAAACAACACAATGGCACGAGCGTCTCTCAAAGGCGCCTTCTTCCTTCCTTCATGCTTTTCTGATTATGATATCGATCATGTTCCTCCTGCTCAAGTCTATAGTCTCACTTCACTCTACAGACTGAGCCTT